TTGTCTTGATTCCATTAGGGGTACCGGTAGTTTTAAAAAACTGAAACAAGTAGTGTTTCACATTACTTGCGTGGTCTGGCACTCAGTGTGTCAGAGCAAAGCACCAGCACTTTGCTCTGACTTTTTACTACATGCCGGAACGCTGCAAAGAGAGGAGGGAAGCTCGCGGTGCTTTAGTGACATCAGAGGAGGCATGGTTTAAGTGCCATCAATCAGAGGAGGAGGTGGGAAGTGCGCGGTTGCAGCCCCAGTTACAGCCCTGGCTCAAATGAAGGCTCCACTCTCCCAGCTCTGCCGCTTGTGGTGAGAAGCCGGGCTTATGCATCAGTGCATAACACGCATATCGGTGTATAACACACAGCTAGGATTTCAGCCCCAAATTTTAGGGGGGAAAGTGCGTGTTATATGCCGATAAATACGGTAAATATATCTAAGCACTCACCAAAGGCCATGCTGCAAATAGAGGTAGGTCTAAGAACAAGTGTTCCTGATTAAAATTAATTGCCTATAAAATAAGGTATCCCTTTTTAAAAGATTCATTAATCTCTTGACTGATTATACATACCCAAACTATTTCCTTTCGTATGTACATGCACCTAAGCAAACAAAATGGAGTTGAGTGGGAGGACAGGAAGAAAAGAGAAGTAGTAGGGAGTCATGGGGGTGACAGAAAGGAATGGTTAACTGGACAGAGAAATAAAGAAGGACTATTTATGGAAAGCTCAACAGGAGCTGTGCTGGCTTAGCAAGTATAAATGTATGAAGACTTACTCTACTTCAAGTGCTGTTGAATTTAGTGCCTCTTACACCATGATAAGTATGCATAGGATTTTTAGTCCTTTGCAGTTATTTTGAAGTCACATTGTCTTCCAGTCCATGTGTATTAGCAAGTGTCAACAGTGAGACAGAAGCCACCATCAAACTTAGGAAAACACTTCATGAATCTTTTAGCTGTAATTAAGCCACAATTTTGTTAGTAAGCAAAACAATAGTTGTGTTAAGCTGTGCATGTGTTTGAATTCTGTAGTGACAATTTTTTGGTAAGCTCTCAAGTATTGTCTAAGGCTTGCTTACATAACTAGCCAATGCAGTATCCTAGCATTAAGTCAATATTTAATGTGAGGGTTATAAACCTTAAGAGATTTCCTATAGATACTGTCTTTGGAAAACAGTGTTCTTATCTTTGATGGGCACATAATAACAGAAGATACCTGTATTGTTGAGACTAGTACTGGGGAAGATAACTATTGAAGATGGCTGAATTGAGTTAAATATTCATGAATAAATTGCATCATTTAACAGCCAGACCATGCCAGTAAATTGGACTTTTGCTTCACATTAAACCTGTTTTCTTCCATGGTTTTAATTAGGACTACATTTTTCAAAAGTCTATAGTCCAAGCTAGATGCATTTTTATGTTACCCACAAAACGAAATAAAGGAGCAGTCTTTACAGAAGCAACTGTGATGCTTATAATGAACACTATCTAACGGACAACATTTTTCTCTTTGCTGATATAGGAACTGAGAAACATTGAGAAGGCTGAAATTTATCTTTCTGAAAGAGATTTTATGGATATCATTTTTACTCTTGCTAAGGCAGGATATCCTCAGTATGTACAAAATATTCTGGAGAAGATAAAATATAATAAGGAAAGCATACCAGGTAATACTTCCAGGAAAGTATTCAGGGATGTGGCTTGTTAGTTTTTTGTTGTTAATGACAAATTATGGCGAATATAAGGTAAATGAGATTTATTAATGTGCCCTATTCATGCAGCAGCCATAGAACCAGAGTTGTAGGTACAATATATTTCTTGAATACATGCTTAAATACACATCTAAATACCCTTTTACTGAGATTATCAGGAAATGGATAGTATGTTTATAAACTCTGTCAAAATCTTACAGCTTACATCTTTCCCCCTTGTTTTTATTCCAACATTTAGATGTAAAGAATCTTTGCCTGAGATTAATAACATCTAACTTAGAAGATACAGCTTTTGAAGTACTGAAATCATTTTTTGTGGCATTAGGACTCACCTGTGAAAAACACAGTGGCCATTGCAACTTTTTTTTACAGCACTGTATAAACATGGAAATGGTATGTGAAGTGGACAAAACAGACTTAAAAGTGCATGCCTACTTACATTCTTGCAGAGTTTCTCAAACTGATTGTGTCTGTCCATTTTGGGTTGGTTTTAAAAAAATGTCTTCAAATTAATAGGTTGGATCCAATCTTCTTTAGGGTCAGGAACAGAAAGGAGCTAACTTTCCCAACCCCACCTTCCCCTGCCAGCCACTCGAATTCTAAATAAACCTTGGGGGCCCTTCTAAGTGGAGTGGGTTGTGCTAAGAAAAGCTGATAGATACCACAAAATGGCAGCTGGAAGTGTTTTAAGCAAGCAACCATTTTGAGGGAGTCAAGCGTAAGCTATAATTTTTGTCAATCCTCTTCCATAAATTCATATTTATGAGCAGGTCTGCAGGGATTTATGTAGTGTGGAACTGGCAGAAAACTTTGCTTCTGTCTAGCCTTTTTTGGTGGCAGATTTTTAGATCCAGCTTATTTAATTTTCTTAAGCAACCATTATACTCTGATCTGTTGTCCATTTTGATTGTGCATTTCTTATCTTTCTCTTCCCAATTCATCCTTTGATTCCATAGACTGCCAATAAAATATGTTCTTTCCACATTCCTGTTTAGAAAGAGGATCAAATTCACTTGTCTCAGTCTTTGTTTTCTTCTGTATTCTGGACTGAAACCCAAGGGATTCTTTTCTGCTTTTTCACTGCTCAGCTGATATTTGTTAAGTGTAGGATGGGTTTCCCAATCAAAGCTAAAATCTGTTTTTCAAGATTCTGTGAAGTACTTGGTTGTCATTGTGATTTTGAATGTTTCAGTTGAATAGTGGTGAACTTAAAATTCTTAAATCTTTTATTTCTTGCAGCCCTTGGCTAAGTTGAAATATTTCTGCAATGAGCTAAAAGCAAGCAACTTACATCTTACACCTCTATTGTCGAGTTTATCCTTTGCACTGGAAGCAAAGAAAACTGGTACTTCTTCTTTCCATTTAGCATTGCTGAACATTGTAGTATATCTGTTATTATCATGCTCATTGACTTTTCTCTTTCTGGATCTTTTCAGATTTGTCTGTTGGTATAATGAAGATAATAAAAGAAGAAGGCTTATGTCTTAAACCTCACTATTTCTGGCCATTACTGGCTCAGCACCAGGAAAAGAAAAACACTGAAGGTTAGCACTTCTACTCAAATTTTGGTTACTGTGAACATTAATTTTAACACATAATCCTGTAGCAAGAAACATGTTTGCACACGAAAACAACTTAGCAACATAGGCAACTCTGTCAAAACATTATTGTGTTTTTTGTGTAGTCATGTATATCACAACAACTGCCTAGGAAGGGTGTTATTGCATTCTTACTTTATTTTGTCGCTGATAATAATGGCAAATTAAGAGCAATCATTGTTTTAGCTGGCTGTAGTCAAGGTTCAATTTGTCACAATATCCTCAGCTGTCTTTTAATCTTCTGAACTTGAAAGACACAATACTGAAATCTAAGGAAGCTTTTAAAAATCAGGTTGCATTGTGG